GTTATTTATTCACTTATTCTCGCCTCATGAACACCAACAGGACATTAAGATTTTAACATCATTATCATTGTACCTCTCTCTGTCTTTCTACTCCAATATGCCGTATTGTCTTGACACGCGTTGTTTGTCAGGCATGCATGCATGTCATGGGTTTAGTTAGTTAGTTATTTGCTAGTTTGCTAATTACATTACATACATGGCAAGTCATTATATTATTATTTTAACCTACATACATCAATCAACCATGTGGTACTATTTTTGGAGTTTTTTTTAAAAAAGAATGCCATATTATGTCATGTTCACCACAATGTTAAGAAATAATTAAATACCCATTTGTCCCAAGTTGGGAATAAATATTAAATATTAAAAAGCAGATGGCAGCAAGCAGACCTTGCTCCTACTCCTACTCCTGCTCCTGCTCCCCACCCCCTTTTCCAAACACCCTACCCTACCTACCCAGTAGCCTTTGACAATTTCAACTTCTCAATCTCAATCGTAATACCATCAACGCAAAACAAGTTAGTACTTAATATTCTCTTCTGCTCTCAAGGGAGAGAGGGAGGGACGGAGGGACGGAGGGCCTACAACTACATGTTTTTGTGTGGGTTGTCAAAATGGGAAGAACCATTTGAGAATTAGAATTAGCATTAGAAGTAGATTTTTATTTTTATTTTTATTTTTATTTTTATTTTTATTTTATTTTATTTATTTTGTTTTGGACAGAAAATATAGGATTACGTTACGAAGGGGGAAAAAAGGAGGACGAGGAGGAGGAGGAGGAGGAGGAGGAGGAAGAAGAAGAAAGATGGGTAAAAAATGGAATGGAGGAGTTGTTGGAGTCAGGGGAGAAGAGTTGAGTACAACATCTAAACATAACATCTATCCTCGTCCTCGGGGAGTAGGGGAAGCGGGAAAGGAAGGGAAAATATTTAATAATATCAAGGACGGAAAAGGGGAAAAAAAAAAAGAAAAAAAAAACAGGATGAAGTCCAGTCCAGTGCTAGGGTAACTAGTTAGTTAGTTATGTTATATGTACAACACACATTCAGACATTATCATTATTCATGACATTGCCATTTATCCCCCACAACCAACCATAAAGAAATCGGAAGAAAATGAACGAGAAAATGAAATACCGAACATATACAACTAAAACCCCTTCCCCTCTCTTTCATCCTTCGCTACTTCTCATCTAACTCCACCACTCCCACTCCCACTCCCACTCCCACTCCCATCCGCACTGGCATTCCCAAGCAGCACAGCCACAATCTCATCCAAAACCGTAAAAACCAAGTGCGCATTGAGCCTCTGATTATTCGTCGTCGCAAACACCCTCCTCGCCGCCGCTTGCGCATTCGCCCTCCCAACCACATTGGCCGCAAGATCCGGCACAAGCGTCGCAAGCATAACGCTCGCCTCCGTCCTGCTCTTCATCTTCTCCGCTAAACTCCGCGGTTTCAGGTCGCGAAACCGACGACCCTCGCCATCAGCAGTGACGGGCCACAACGTGTCCTTCGCCAGGTGGATGTAACGCAGCAACGACGAGTCCTCCACGAGCGAGCGGGCGAACTCGCGCACTTTGCGCTCCACCGTGCCGCCGAGGAGCTGGTGGAGGACGATGACGACGGCGCGCCCGCGCAGCCAGTTGTTACCCTTGTTCAGCTCGAAGATCTCGAGAAATATGTCGCAGATGGGCTTTACGAAGGGCTCTAGTTCGCGGTATTCAAAGGTGTTGAGTTCGGCTTCGGCTTCGGCGGCAGTGAGGGAGTCTTCCGGGCTGATGAGCCGGTGGTCAGGCTGGGGGTTGTTGGTAGTCGCGAGCTGGTTTGTGGCGGCGGAGATGAGGTTTTGGCCTGCTGTGGAGAGTTGGTCAAGGACGGTGATGTTTCCAAGGAAATCGTCCATGCCATCGGCAACGGAATTGTAGATGCGGGTAACGAGGTCTTTGTTTTCTTCGAGCCGTTGATGTTCGAGATCATGGTCGTTTGATTCTTCAGAGGAGATTATGGCGCGTTGGGATAGGAAAGCACGTAAATCGCGGCTTCGACATACGTCAGGGAGGAGGAGGAGCTGCCGGAGATAGGCTTCGAGCGCAAGACGGCGTTTGTGAAGGAAATCCCTTTGGAGTTTCATTACCATTCGTCGGCGAGGGAATTCTAGGTTGCGGACGGACGGATATCGCATTCGTAGACGTTGGTGGAGTTCGTGGAATTCGCTGTAACGGCGAGGAATTGCCCAAGAGGCAGCAGGCATCTGGTCTCCAGAATTCCTCTGTACTTCGATAAGATCTGAGATTGGTAAGTATTTCACTGTAAATTCTTTAGTTAGAGAGTAGAAACCAAAGGCTACCTACATAATGCATATTCCCGCCCATCCTCCTCTTTCCCAACCATGATGGATTTGATTTGGACAGTGGAACGCCCGTAGAGGCTATTATCACTTTCTTGAATGATATATTGCTGTCTTTGCATTTCCTTCCGGCGAATTTCACGATGAAGACTCGACTTGGATTTCCCTAATATACGCAGCTCCGCGGTATTATTAGTTAATTCCGCTTTTCTGGTGAGCGTGTCAACGACGGCCTCTTGGGCAATGAGTTTTTCTATATCAGATGTCAACGCAGATATAGCTTCTGCCAGACCAAGATCGCCAGGCGCCGCTTCATGTATCTCCTCCGCCGGATCTTTTTCATCCTCAGGTGTTTCTGGGTCCGCGTACTCATCCTCGATAAACTTCTCCTCGTCCGAGAAGAGATCGTTGTCGGTAAATACACCAATCCTAGATGAGGTATTAACAAGGCCCAGCGACGCGATACTTGGTTTCACCTTCTCCCCTACTGGACCATTGTCATGTTGTGGAAACTCTAATGAACTCCTTGATGAATTTTGTTCCCTACTTGAATGTAAAATAGGACTTTTCGTTTCTTCTAGTTTCGAATCATTTGGTTGATTGGTAATGATATCATTCAAAGCGGCCTCCATATTCTCTATTACATGACGGGAGTGGCCGTCCCCGCCATCCCCATTCTGAGAATCCTTTCCGGTGCTCTGTATAGACGCTGCTAGGTGATCGGTTTCCAGATCATCGTCATCAAATAGCCGAGCTCGATCCGAGTCTAGTGATCGCCGAAGAAAGTGCAAGTCACCTAGATGTTTAGGCTGGTTCCATAAATCGGTTGTAGAAACAGCCGTTCGTAAAAGCTCGTTTGGTTTTGCGTTTGTTTGGGGGGAAGATACGCGACCCGTAAGCGGGGGAAGTGGACGTCTTTCAGAGCCTTCAGAGTATGTTGACTGGCTCACAGACGGTCGCCCAGACTGGGAGGTGGAAGCGGAGGCGGAAGCAGCTTCATCAGAAGCTAAGTATTTATAGTATAGATCCGACTTCTTAAAGCCAGGATAATATTTATTCTGCATCTCAAGTAAAACAGATGTCTGGGTAGTGAGGATGACTGTTCGTGCTTTGCGATATTGTTCCGGAGAAGCTCGCTTTCCAGCGTTGATGAACTCTTTCACCTCCTGTCTAGATTCAGCAGGAACCCGCAATTCACGCTTCGACAAATGCTGCTCGCTGATCAGCACGACATCGTTTCTATCGGCGGTTGTCCATGTTACAGCGTTGGTAGGAGTGTCATCGCCAAAGTCATCTTCAAGAGGGTTTCGGAACCCATCAACGACGACCCAAAACTGGACAAGGGACATGAGATTCAGGCGATCCCATATACTCCATAAAGTACGAAAGGCCAGCTGCATTGTGCATAACATCCACCAATGATACTTCATGAGGCTTTGAAATGTAGCTATAGCGAAGATCAACAGGATTTACAGGCGCATTATTTGGCTGGCCAGTGGGTACTGAAAGCTTCGCAACCTTCTGATCCAAAACCCGTTTCCCAGTTTCCAGGCGACGGAGATAAACCTGATCTTGGCCTTCAACCATGCTCTCCCGTTTGAGTTGGCTGGCAATTTGGCTCCTGAATCTCCTCGCATCTGACAGGATGTTGCATCGGCGAATAACTCGGACAAACCTCTCGAAGTCTCTTTCGCTATCACCCGCCCTTAGCCTGGGGAACGCTTGGTTGTGTTTAGACTTCGGAGCAGGTGAAGCATGTTGGTCTAGGGCCTCACGTAGTCTCCGTACCGTTTTGCGGTCTTGTAGTGCAGTGCGCGCATAGGCTTCCATCAGCTGGTTCCAAGTATCAGGGTCAGAAAGCAGCAATAACAATGGATATAGAACAGCACAGGTGACAATCTCTCGTATCAAGATAGATACCGCCCGGCTGCTCAGTAAACCCTCTGGCAACAGTTTCGGGAGCAGTGCAACAACCAACTTGCGGAGGTGCTCTTGCTGAACCTGTTTTGGGTCCGTGAACGAGGATACAGATACGGCAGGGTGTAGATTTCCATTTCTATACCTACTCGCGATTGCAATCTCCAGCTCTTCCGATTCAGTTACAGTGCGTGACAGGTTTCTGCCTCGAACTGCCCTCTCAGCTGTGTCAAAATCTCTAAAATGGTTCGTCAAAATTGGTACAAACCGGGACACCAGGATCTCCACCAAGTCTTCTCTGAACAGCCTGTCCCTTAAATTTCCAAGTGCGGCCCTTATCCCACGATCGACTTCATTGACAAATCTTGGGCTGCCGCTTATTTCCCGGTACCATGATGAAACAAACTCGCCCAGGGCAAGGTCAAGGAGCTCACCAAGCGCTTCGGAAACGAGGAATGACTGAGGGTATAGGGGTTCGGGACGATAATCCACGCTCTTCTCGTATATCCTGACATCATGTTCCCATTTATCGGGGGACAGGAAGGCGATCGAACTGCCAGCCAAACTGACTGGGTTTGCTCCCCACTCATTTCCACTTCGTACGGTTAAAAGAATGACGGCACCCAGGCAAAGGACAGAGGTGGTGATACCAGCAAAAAAAACGTATCCGATGTAACGAAGCACGGGGAACCAGCGCACGGCAAAACCCCACGCAATGAAGCCGCCCAAGCAGGCAATGAGAAGATCACGGCGACTTAGGGCCATTCTCCCCAGCGCAAGTTGGCCTCATGCTGTCAAGTTGACTACTTCATGAAAGCAAATAATGCAGCGGGGGCATTCCTCGCTTTTTTTTATCCCTATGGTTTTGGGTCTTCTGTCTTAGACTGCCGGGTGGGAGTTTGGGTTCGCAGTGGACTTCGGCAGCAGCTAACAGCGCGCTAGTCACTTGATAGTGCGACGAGTTCTCAGCTAGTTTTGTGTGGATGGCGGTCAGCACACGGGAAGGTTAGGGCATTCTCATGTAGCAGAATTAAGTAGAAGGTAGCCCAACCAGCAGAGAGAGCTAAGGGCCAAAGACCTACATGCCGTACGTTGGGGAGTTGAAGCTGGATGGGAACAAGTAAGTTAACCAGACGCTGCTGCTTAGGTAAGTGGCTGCTTATCAGATCGCCGAGATCACGGGACAAAATCCGAAATATTCAACTCCACCAACGTCACTTGAAGCTAGTCTGGGAACTTGGCCTCAATCATCTCGGGCACAACAGAAAACTAACAACAGCAATTGGAACTCCCCTCTACCTCACATCACGGAACGACGATAACCAAAAGATGGCCTCCATCACGGATTATATCGATTTCTCCCAAACGAGCCTACATTGTAAGAATTGGCCCTCTAGCAGTAATATCTTAAATACCAGGCCCAATCGCTGACGCTCCTTCAACAACAACAGTGGCTGCAGCCGCCATTGCATTCAATCCCATATTCTGGAAGTAAGAACCTCTCCCGTGGAGCAGACAAGGGATAAGAACATGTCATAAAGTAGTACTTGTATACAGAGCTAACCTAAATACCCACGACAGCATCGTCGCCCGCCAAGGTCCGTTCCTCCCAATCAAATCCTGCCTTGAAAGCGGCTGTGATAATTAAATAGATGAAATATGAAATCACTCACATAACGTAAAAACACACAAACGGACCGGCAGAATACCGCAACCACTTCCTAACCCGCATCTTCGGCAGCCCCTACAATGGCTGCTACGTCCTCGCCGTCGCCATCTTCTCCCTAGGCATACTACGCGACCACCTGTACAACAGAGCGCTGGCTGACCAGCCTTTATACCAGCCTGTCTCGCAGCCGTATCTAGCCTACGGCCTTTTCACCACGGGGAATACCCTCGTGCTCTCCAGCATGTGGGCGCTGGGCCTCACGGGGACGTATCTGGGCGATTACTTTGGGATCCTGATGGATGCGCCTGTGACTGGGTTCCCGTTCAATGTCACGGGTTCCCCGATGTATTGGGGCAGCACGTTGAGCTTTTTGGCTGTGGCGCTATACAAGGGCAAAGTGGCTGGTTTATTGTTGACCCTGGAGGTGTTTGTGTGCTACTGGCTTGCGCTGAAGTGGGAAGAGTGAGTCCTGTTGATTACCCTTCTTCTCCTTCTTCTTCTTTTCATGTTCACCCCTCTAGCCTTATATTATACTCCCTATTAATAAATACCCCCATCGATTACAGCCCCTTCACCGCTGAGATATACGCAAAGCGTGAGCGAGACCGCGCCAAGTCGAAGAAAGGCGGCAAGCGCGCTTGAACCGCCTCCCATCCGTCTAGTAAATATCCAAGGGACAAATAACAGACCTACTTAAAACTCCTCGGATCTAATCGGCTAAGGACTTCAACGCTCCCTGTCGATGACGAGACGAATATATGATCTTCACCCAGCACCTAAGCTCTTAATGCTTCTTTGTTTGTTCGTCGTTCGCTCACTCGTTCTGCCTTAATATACATTCTTATCTCCTTTACAAGGTAATACAAAAAGGTTCGAAATGATCTTTTGGTTGGAGTGTTTGCTCTACTCTCGTGTCGAGCGCCCCTGGAAAGGAAGGGATGCGGAACCATAATTTATATTTCTTTCTTCTTTCATCTTCTTCTTCTTCTTCTTCTTCTTCTTCTCCTTTTTTTTACATGTCTTCAACGATAAATTTCTCACTTTCCTGTTTCGATTCCAAGTGGCGGTGGAGAAGGGGAAGGGAGTGGACCAGTCATTGGCGGTTGAGGCGCAGGAGCCCGCGACGGAGACAGGCGAGGGTGCCAGGTGGTATACAAAAGCGTTCTCTTATTCTTTTGCTTTTTTTTAAAAATAGATGGGATGGGTTTTGATTTGAGTCATCGTGTTACCAGAAATGGTGGAGAACACGGTGATGGGCTTATATATATATATATATACCCTCTTGAGCATACATTCATACATTCTTACGCACCATGCGTGCATTGATAGATTAGAGGCATGTTTGGCTACACTGTAGCATTCTGATACGTTCTGTACTGTACATGATACTCTATTCCAAAAAAGACAAACAAAAAAAAAAAAAGAATTGCGTAATGGAAAACGGGAATGGGGATGGGGATGATGATTTGAGTTATCTTGTCATGAGCGGAACTGGGTATTTATTTCCAGGTTGTAGCGGCCTAGACTCCGATAGTTGTCAGGAAGAAAAATAAAAGCAAAAAAAGCACCAAATCTAAAAATACAAAACGCAGCCTGGATGGAAAGGAGAAGAACAGCAGATGAGGACAGGTGTTTCGGAGCGAGGGGGAAAAAGAAAATATCAAAATCAAAATAAATCAAAAAAAAAAAAAAAAAAAAAAAAAAAAAAAAAAAAAGGTGGGGGGAGAGGAACGGCAGGGCGAAACAACCCAATTATGGCATAAACAACAGCGAATGAAAGAAGAAAAGAAATGAAGTGAAAAAAAAAGGCAAGGACATGCCTCCGACTTCCTATGTCTCACATGTTTCACGCATTAGTATGCATCAATGTATCCATTCATACCTAACCATCCCAATCCACTCCAGTCCAACCCGGCAAAAAGTTCAAAAAAAAAAAAAAAAAAAAAAAAAAAAAAAAAAGCCCAACCCCTTACCCCTCCAGAAATTCAACCCCAAGAAGAGAAAGAAAAAACAAAAAGGAAGGGTTAAAAAAATAAAAAGAAAGAAAGAAAAAATCACGCCCTCCGGCCCCTGCCCCTCTTCGCGGTCCCCGTCCCCGTCCCTCCTCCACCCCCTCTCCCTTCCTCCCCTCCCCCATCAACCTCATCCTCATCAGCGCCTTTCCTCAAATCTTCACCATCCCCCAACCCCCACTGCTGGCGATCATACCAATCCTCCCCATCGCTCAACTCCCCCACATGGCCCTCAGCCTTACACCACTCCCACACCAGCTCCTTCTTCCGACACGCGCTCAGCAACATATGGTACATGCGCTGCGAAGCGCGCACCGTTTCTTCCTGCTTCTGGATATAGGACCAGAGCATGCGGCGGACCTCATCTGCTTCGCTGGGGGGAAGGCCGCAATTGCGGTCGAGATGGGTTGGCGGGAGGAGGAAGATGGGGTGCATGGTTAGGGGGTCGTTGAGGTTGTCGGGGTTATTGGCTGTGGAGGAGGATGGGGTGCCGGAGCGGGCTATGTCTGAGAAGGTTGGGGTGGTGGCTTGGTTTGCGGCTTGGTTTGCCCGGGCGCGGGTGGTCATGCGGCGCGGGGGTTCGGGGGAGGAGATTCCTTCGTCGTTGTCGTTGTCGTCGGCAATTGCTTCATCTTCCGTGCGGTCGCCGTCTTTGTCCACGTTTATATCGCCCCCGTTAGTCGCAGCCGTATCAACAGGAGGGCCATCTTTAGGCTCTTCCTTGGCTTTGAGAGGATCTTTGTTGGTGGTGGGTATCGACGGTTGCTTTTTTGCATCTATGTGCGTTGATATGGTGTCCCCATTTGTAGATTCTGGGGGAAATACAGCCTGTCCATTTACTTTGATGGTTTCACCCGTAACGTTCTTCTCAGGTGGCATTATGTCCTTGTTTTCTAGCGGCTCCTCTGAGGTATCACCCATCTCGACATCGTGATCAGTATTGTGCTGCTCGGGCGACACGCCATTGACAGCATACTTCACAGGATCGTAATTCGGTAAGCTAATCGAGATATTATTCCCTATTTGAGCAGCCTGGTTCTCGGGAGACCCTCCGCGTGAAGAACGTCCCGATCTACCCCTCCCATCCCTTTGTTTCGATGAAGAACGGCTATTGAATCCATAATTGGGGTCAAATATATTTCTGTCGTCCATAGTCTCCAAAAAGCCGCAAGGCATCCACGGGGCGTCGCCTAGTAGCTCTCTATGTAGTCTCTTGGCCTTATGGAGGACGTCCTGCTCCTGTCGGAGCTTTGCATTCGCGTTGTCCACCATCATCTGGAGGGTTTTGGAGGTGTACGGATGGGACATGGAAGGGTGTGTCGCGAGTTCGGAGGGATGTTTTAGAGGAGCGAGAAGTTCTGTAAACAAATAAGGAGAAACACAAGAGTGAGAAATCGATATTTCCAATTGGTGAAACAAATTCCGGCGTTTGATCGCGTTGCACACACACACACACAAAAAAAAAAAAAAAAAAAAGTTCGACTCACCTTCCAGGTGTATGTCCCCAAACGGATTTTCGTCCGCCATTTCCGGATCAGCATGTTCCTCTGCATCTTCTTCATCCAATTCGTCTCCCTCGGAATCGTATTTGGGCGGATTGCGCTCTACGATATCTCTCGTATAACCGGCATGATTGATCCTCTATCAAATGGAGAAAATAACATTAGCGATGACATCTCAGATCAGCATTCAGCCTCTATTGGGCCCTAAGAGGAAGAACCCAAGTATTTTTTTCCCCCCACCGTACCTTTCTATAAAATGCCACACCGTCCGTGAACCCAAGAGCTCCCTCGTGAACATATTCCGCATTTATCCGAAGCTTATTTCCGCGATTCGTGGGTTGTGTGATGGGATCGTCGACGCCCATAGCTAAGAGACAGGGGAAAAAAAATACAGATGTCAGCCAAAGCAAAAAGGTAAAAAAAGGGGATCAATCAAGTCGAGACGATCCGGGCCTCATCCAACCAGACAAAATAGGTGGGAAACAAGAACGAAATGGAAAAAGAAATACGAAATATACGGAAAGAGAGACGAGACATCACAGACCTCCTAAACGCTGGCGTTCAAGAGCCCTTTTCATCGCGGTGATGGTGTCCGCGATCATGGCCGCTTGAACCGCCATGATGGTCCCCCCGCGCGCCAGAATAGCCGGGCTTTGAACAAAAAATGAGGGATAGAGAGCAGGGTATGGTTTTTGAAGCTCCTGCCGTTCGGTCCTCCCGAATCTCCTACCTCGGCCCGGAGATAGCTTGAGAGCTGGAAGCGCGTGCGAGCTGGTGTGGCGTGGTGTGCGTGGTTAAGTTGCTGTGGGTATGATGGATGGGTTTTTAAAGATAAAAAGCGATTGTTGGTTTTCTCAAAGCGGAAAATAACGGTGAAGTTTCACACGTGGAATCAGTCTAAGAATAGGTGATAAATGGGCGGTCACAGAACTCGTGGGATGTGCAAGCTGGTGGAGAGGAGAAGAAGCAAGAAGCCAACAGGATAGAAGATAGCTGGGGCTCGATCTCAGGTGGTGAACTTTCGGGGGACTTGAACGGGTACCTCTCGTTGCCGCTACCGCTGGGCCAGTCGAGAGGTACCACTCTCAACCCGGATTAAAGTTAATGCTGACGGTTGGCCGCACCAGGGCTATTCCCTTAACGGGTTTAGCGTCCACGCCTCTCCCGTTTATGTCATCGTGCATACAAACTATATCACAAGCACGAACAAGCGGAGTTTGTGTGAGTCGTGGCCATCCACTGCCCATTGAGTATTGAAAATGGACAACATGCAGCGACATGAAGCCTTAAGTGAAACCAATTAAGAAATAGCATCAAAGTATGGATCAATGCTATCACTAATATCCAAAAAGAAAAACCATAAATAAAACAAGTGCCCGTACCCAGTTGCAAGCCGGAGCCACACCAAAAAAGAAGAAAACAAGAAAAACCCTCTCACTCCTTCCTCATTCATCCCCTACCCCAAACCCAGGCTTCGACTGCGGCTTCACAACCTGGTAACCCTTCTCAAGCGCAAACTCCACAGTACAACGAACACGCACAGCGGCAATAGCTGGCCACGTCCCCCGCTCCCCCTTAAGTATCCACCTCCTAATCTCTTCCCCCGCCCTAGGTGGCGGCTTGAATACTTTTGACAAATCCATCCACCCCAGTTCCGGCAAAATCGTCATATGCGGACCTTCTATATCCTCATAGATTAACAGCCGCCGGAGTGGCGTTGGCAGGAGACCCAAGCTATCAAGTTGGCGTAGACGATGTCGTATTTCCAAATTTATAACACGGCATGTCTGTTCGAGGAGGACTCCGCGGCGGGAAACTACCTTTCCTGGACGCTCGACTTCTGGTAGGTATATGGGCACCCGGAATGGTCTGGCTTGTGCAATGATGAAATGGTTCACGTTGAATAGTTCCGACAGGCGGGAAACAGGACATTCTCTCTCGTTATAACCAAGTTCGCGCCATGACCTGAAGAGGAGGCCTTTGGCATCGGGCCACGGGACGATTGCCCCTGTTTCGTCCTTGCAATACAAGGTTACCCGTGAAGAGGTTGCAGAGGACACGTTCGACGCGGCTGCAGCGGACCATATCAACTGAGAAAAATAGTTTCCAAAATGTCAGCTCTCAATAGGCATAGAGTCAAGGGTGGAGATCAGTATCTCACCACATTAGGCGCTGTTAGGTAGTTCAGCAGATTCGGAGTCCCTGCTCTCCCAGCAGTTGGGATGGTAATGTTCAGGCAACGCTTTGTCTTCGCAAACGCCTCTTCGAAGGTCATTTCACCAACTGTGGATTTGACATATTCCTCCAGGAGTTTCAAATCTGGAAAATAGCTCTCTCGAATATATTCCTCAGTCCGCCGGATCAATGAAGGTAACCGCCCGTACCCGTTATCTCGCGCGAGAAGACTAAGAATATTCCAACCCTTGAAGTGCTTCTGCTTGGATAACCGATCTGAAACAGCTTCATCGATGCCTTCCCCATTCAGCACTGGTATAAGATCATCATCCTTGTGCACCGCCACGAGCGCAGCAACCAAGGCGCCGGTCGCGGTTCCGGTGATGATTCGAGGTAGCAGCCCCCTCAGAAACAGTGCTTTGACGACGCCTAGATGACAAGTGCCATATACGGCACCTCCCTGCAGAATCAACGCCGACCTGCCGAATGCCTGTCGGGTGTCGTAGAGCAATCGAAGTTTGTCCTGTGAATCAAAGGCCTTGGGATCGCGCGGCACGGTCTCAAGAGCGGCGATGTACTCAATTGCGAGTCCGACTTCCGAGATATACTCTTCGATTAAGACTTTGGTGCCGGAATAAGCACAATCATAGAGCTGCGGGGACGTGATATTGACTAAATTTCTGACCAACCCAGATCGAATAAGGTGGACGATTACCCAGATATCGTTGTTATTTTTCGCACGTATGAGGCTTTGCAACCGTCGTTTAATAACGTGGTGGTCGTAGTGGAGGCTGGGGTAACTTTCACGCCTGAACAAAATAAACAGAAATACCCTTTTGGTTAGCAAGCTCTACTCAAAAAAGTGATCAATCAATGACGGTAATAGTCATATATACTGTAAAAAAGAGAAAAATAAAACCCAAATCAAGACAAAACGACGAACCAAACATCATTCCCCAGCACTTCATCCAACGAAATCGCCCCGGCCTCCCACTCCTCAAAGCTTTCAGCTGTCGCAATGCGCTTTCTTGCAAGATCACCTGGCGATTTCGCGAGCCACCAGGTATACAATTTCTGCGGCAGACACCAGACAACGTAAGTAAAATATACTAACACAAAAAGCGATATGAACAGGAACCGAGAGCACAGAGAAACAGGGTTGTGTGGCAAGATCTGGAGAGCAGGAGCAGCAGCAGCAGCAGCAGCAGCAATAACAGCAGCGGCGAGGCCCTTTTGTCCTGTCCGCCTAAGAAGGGTGAGCGTACGTGTTTGCAACAGGTCCGGACGTTATCCACGAGGGCAGCGAGGATGGTGAAGAACAAGTCCCAGCAACTTAGGAGGATGCTAGTGAAAAGGATGGACATGGCTAAGGTATGGTGGTGTTTTGGAATGGCCTTATATCAAAGCAAGAACTTGGTAAGTTCTATTATCGAAGATTCTGGAATAATATAGAATCTGCAACGTCCCACTATATGAAATCAAGCAATGCCCCACTGATGCTCAGTAATATCTCATGCATATATTTAAGCACAGATTTCCCTATAAATACTGCCTGATTATCATGTAATTATTAGAAGTTAGAATAAGCAATTCAATCTATTTTATTGATATTCAGTATTTGGGGCAATATTCGGACTTAGTCAGTTCCGACACCTTATTGATATTTCTGCGGCAGCGTCGTGGTCGTCTTTGCTTGTGATCCTGTTGTTGAAGTCCGTGGTTGCATGGTGTTGCTCAGTGGGCAAAGTTGGAAAGGGCTACGGCAGCACGACTTCTGTCGTAACAGGCGTGGATTGCTCGACTGGCCCTTACGCCTGCGAGTGGTTGGCTTTATCGCGTGGAGGAAGCATGAGGGTTCGGCGGAACAAAACTCTACTATTTCATCTTTGGTCCTCTAAATGACCTAGAAATTAACCGGCATCTAGGCAAATCCAAGATTTAGTACGGAGTACACTAGCAAAACTTCTACCGCCACCAAGATTTTCTCAACCATGGTAATTGCAGCGCTCTCAATTTAGCAGTAAAAGAGGATGTCAATATTGTACGGACTTGTGAGATAGGAACGGGCTGCAAATGCAACAACAACTTCGGGCCAGGAGTCGTTGTCAAGCGTTGAATATACAAAGGTAGCTTTGATTGATGGTGGCAGAGAAACGTCAATCGATGAGGTCATCGGAGGCCGGAGTGCCGTCACGTGGAGTCCGTGCTAGACCTTAGACCTTGGAAAGTTCTTGTCGAGAATACATTACCAATGGACAAACAAGAAAACATTGGACATGCATCCGTTTATTCACTGTGAGAAGGAAGGAAGGGGGATGAGAGTGGAAAGTATTTGCAAAATATGGAACATCGATTGAACTCCTGCACAGGGAAAAGTAGGTAAACTGATATGGAAAAAAAGGCCAGCTCAAAAAAAGAAAAACAAAAGGAGGACGTTTCCCATTTTCACGTTTTTTTAAAAGCAACGTAGAAAGAGAAAGATTAAGTAAAAAGGGGGAAGAGCTCGTCCAATGATGAGAGATGCTTCTGTTCCCTTTTCTCGGTTTCTTTCTTTCTTGTTTGAAAATTAGTTTTCCTTCCTCTGTCCCCCTTTTCCCTTTTTCTTTTTCCTTGTCCCGCTCGCTATATCGTCTAAAATAGTGAACACGAGTAACCACCTATCTACTCCTCAGTGATATTGCCCTTCTCCGAAACGTACACACCATCCAAGAACTGTAAAAACAAATACGGTTAGTTAAGATGGCAGAACACTGGAAAGGAGTAGGGAGGAAAAGTGTGCCAATTTGGTGCAATCGAAGTTGGGGGTTTTCCTCACTTTTCGGATATCCTTATTCCTGACCCGGCAAATTTGTTGGATATCGGCAGCACTCTGTGAAACGCCCTCCAGCGAGTTTCCGGAAAGTTGTAGCTCATCCTTGACGTTGGGGGAGACAATAATATCGACACCTGGCTGGCAGACGACACGGCGGACTCTCTTCTCGCCCAGGAAGTTTCTATATTTTTTTCACAAATGATTAATGAGTATTCCCAGCTTGCATCGTTTCCCATGTTAACTGATCGACAATCCGCGAAAATTGCGCGCTGTTGTCCAATCTTCGGCTAACCGCACCAAAGCCTGTCATTTTCCACAGACTTCATCGGCTTATAGCCGCGGCAATACACAAGGCGACAGAGCAGACCCCCACCACACAATTGCGTATTGGAGAAGGAAGAAAAATGCTCATAAAGAGGGGAAAAAAAGAACTCATCCATACCGGATCTCAACCTCAGCAAGTCCAGTCTC